ACGGCACATAACAACAACAACAACAACATATAAATATTCTTAGGAGAAACTGACATCGCATATTCTGCAAAATATCCTTTTCCTATATTTTCACCCTTATTTGAAGGCTATCTATTGTCTGAACTGCTAAAGATTTCACTATCTCTAGTGCCTAAGGGGGAGCTCTGATAGCATGGTGGCTAAGACACTTGCCTGCTAACCAGACTGCTGGCGGTTCAAACCCACCAGCCACTCCTCAGGAAGGAAGGTTGGGCAATCCTACTTCTGTAGTGATACTGCCTCGGAAACCCAAGGAGGGAAGGAAGGTTGGGCAATCCTACTTCTGTAGTGATACTGCCTCGGAAACCCAAGGAGGGGTCGCTATGAGTCAGGGCCGACTCCACGGCACACAATAACAACAACAACAGTGCCTGAGGCGACTCCATGGCATATAACAACAACAACAAAGTGCCTAAGGCATTTGACTGCTAACCAGAAGGTTGGCGGTTCAAACCCACCAGCCACTCCACGGAAGGAAGACTGAGCAATCTACTTCTGTAAAGATTTACCACCTGGGAAACCCAAACGGGGGTCCTCTATGAGTCAGAATTGACTCCATGGCAGTGAGTTAGTGAGTAATATGTTTTTGCTCTGGTAGCGTAGTGCCTAAGGCACTTGACTGCTAACTAGAAGGCTGGCGGTTCAAACCCATCAGCCACTCCTAGGAAGGAAGGTTGGGCACTCTACTTTCGTAGTGATACTGCCTTAGAAACCCAAGGAGGGGTCACTATGAGTCGGGTCCGACTGGATGGCATATAACAACCACGTGTTTTTGCAATTTTTATCTTTATAAGAAATTTCATCTTTGCAATCCTTGCACAGTGGCTCTCCATTCCTGAATGGGCTCACTGATGACGCTATCTATCAGGAGAGAATGTGGGGCTCTGGGAAGCTTCATTTAAAATGGGAAGAATGAAGAGAATACAATCAAGTTAAGGAAGATACTCAAGAGTAAAACTCACACTCTGGAAAATTTTAATTGAAGAGAGATTTACTGAGAAGTAAAAGCAACTCGATTTGGGGAGGCAAAAAGTCTTACAGGGTAGGATTAACTGCTCCACTGAGGCACGGAGCCACAAGGGTTTATAAAGGCAAAAACCACAGGCAGCTGGGGTTCCATTGAAGAGCTCTTCATTGGTAAACACAAGGTCAGGAGACTGCAGGTCAACCATGGCGGAAGCCAGGCTTTGTCTGTGATAGGTCCGTTACAGATATGTGGCCGGGCAAGGATTAGTTCAGGTGGGGGAGCTGGTGTGTTTTTCTGAGAATTGGCCGACCACCAACTGTTTGTTGGTGCAGCTGTTTCCTGGAACGTATGAAAAAGAAAAAAATCTAAAAGAACATGGTTAGAAGTGGG